AGGAAAATTTATTACGTATTATTTCAGATACTACGTAAATGGATGCGAGTGTATTGACGAATTTTCGATTTATTGAAATTCGAATATTGAACATCGTACCTAGTGAATGCATCATGACGTTTTTAGTGTGCGTCACACGTAAAAGGAAACGCTCTAGTTCGTAAAATTAATCTCGGTTTCAGTGGAAAACCTTTCCTAAACATAACCATTAGTCTACTGACATGGTTTTTATTCTGTTCGTATTAAGGCGATTAGAGTCCTCAATGACCTTGGGCGTTTGACCTTCACGCCGCGAGCAACACCCGCGCACCCCGCACCAAAAACTCCGATTTGACACCGATCAAAAATACACGGGCATAGGTAGATACAGAATAGAAGCTCTTTCTTCATACATTACTGCCTATTATTTTAAACTTAAATTGATGAACCTTGATGTCGGTGTCATTTAACTCAGGCGTAAAGGTATTTAATAAAAATAACAAAATCCATGAACATTTTGTACGGGATAAAATTTTATTTTATTTTTCGTAAATTTTCTAATACTTTTGTCGGTTCAGTCGTTCTCGAAATTTGAACAAACCCGACTTTATTACAAGCTTTTATTTAGCTTGCAATTTATGATGTATGTAGGTAATTACATAAATGTTTGTTCGGGTGGAATCTTGCAAGCTGAATTAGTTAGACCAACTTCCTGACGACAACTAGGCTAGATGACAAAATTTCAATTATTTGTCCGTCAGACAGATAATTAGAAAATATTAGACTCATATTTTTTATTTTCTTTCATAATTAAATAATAACAGTGCTACATCGAGTTGAAATGGCGCGATACGCCACGCTTGAGTAGAATTTTTACTCAAATGTGACGTCACGCGACATTTCAACTCAATATAATACTGTAATTATTCAGCCAAAGAAAAAATTCATTTTGATCGCTAATGTCAGTTTGCAGCGAGTGACACAACCTCCCCGTCTGAAGGCCAGCGGCCGACTGCCGCCCGCACCCCGCGAAGGCCCCCTCAACAGCAAAACGTTCGGAATTTATCAAAAGTAAAATTTATGAATGAAAGTAATGTTCGATTGAAAAACGCAACGTGTCATTTAAAGATTAAAGAATTCCTAATCTATTCGTGCAAAAATCTTTTAAATTAACATAGCCGTTTTGGAGGAGTAGGGAATTTAAGTAAAAAATCGATGTCCCGTATTTATTTTTTTAATCCAAAACAAAGAGACGTAGCGAAAATTCAAACGTCACAAATGTAGTCCTTGAACTGTTGTATAACATATATTTTTTTCAACTATTTCTGTCCAGCAGTAAAAGAGGAGTAGGCTTTACAAAATGGCCATTTGGCGCGGATTGAGGACTCTAATCGCCTTAAAGTCTAGAATTGAGTGCTCGATCTAAAGGCATATAGAGTGCCACGCTGCTGGCGGGGCTCGCTCGCGGTTTTATACGCGACTGCGGCAAAGCTAAATGGAATAAATTGTTCGACATTAGAGCAAATCTACGGTGCTCACTCTATATCGCCACTGCACAAATCGGAAAAAAGGTTCTAAAAATACTGTTGATAAAGAATAAAGATACATTATATTGTTTTTATTAAATAAATATGTTTTTTTTATTAAATTATCAATAATTATTTTTAGTTAGGTACCTCTTAAAATTCATAAATAAACTTGCAAATTTTGACATTGCTATTAACAATAGTAGGCCGCATAGTAGCCACCAGTCCGTGAATTACTTGCACAATACAATTATATCCACTGCTCGGTGCCAATGTAGAGGGTGGCAACAATGATATAACGGTAGAGTGGCAAATTGTAAAGGACGATGAATTAATTTGGTTGACGACAATAAATCACTACATCGCCTAATATCATTGTTGAATTTCGGTTTTGTGACCTATTTTCTATTCTCTCTAACTCCACAAGAAACTGGCAACAAATATGCAAATAATTTGCGAAAAACATGGCGTTTAGAAGCATTGCCTGAAACTGGAAAAGACCAATAATTCATACTTTGAGATGTTGATCTTGTAACGGGTTTGGTTAGTTGAAACACTGCGCTGTGTTATTTTAATATTACAATTAAATAATGCTCGTATACACGGTGTTGATTATTTACACAATATTGCAGATTGAACTACGTCCATTAGCAAGCCGTATAGAGTACCTGCCTTAAGCTCAGCACTACACTACTGGCTTGGTAGTGCAGAAGGGAAAAAATATTCCCCACGACACTACTGGTAGTGTGGTTTGGTAGTGCAGTGGGTCAGAAGGGAATTTGATCCAACCCAAATACTACATGTGGAATAATTTAATAGCACTCCCCAAACAGGATCACCTCAATCCGTACATCCCCGTTGTCAGCGCATTAATGGATACACACTACACTATTATCAACTGAGCAAAGCCGCGAGCCACTAAATAATAAAGCTCTTCTAATTCTTAGTGCATTATTGTGTTCATTGCGGTGCATCCTCTTGCTTTGTTCTTTTTTAGGATACGAATAGTCCATTCCCTGAGATTTTAACTCGCAACAGAACTTACACCTGCCATTGTCAAAAACAAGGAGCAAAGATCAACTAGCAACACCTTAACACCTTGCCTCCGAGTTTGCAGTTTGAGCACTACTTAAATTAATTACAACGAAATAGCGTCACCATAGTCGATGTTCAAGTTTAAGTCGACTTAACACTAAGTAGATGTAGCACACGATGACAGAAATTATTGTACCGGTAAATAGTATTACGCTGTGCAAAATGTAGAAGTATTCTAAGCAGGAGGATGAAGTTATAAAGACTAGTCGATTCCCTTGCATTTATCCGCGAAAACTGGCATTTGAGCTATGTAGACAGGTACCTAACATACTTTACTAACTTATTTATATCTATAAAGAAGTTAGTAAATATTTTGTTAGGTACCTGTTAGGACTAAAGAATCAGGTTTTACGTCCGTAACATTTTTACAACTTACCTAATTACATACATAATTTAGAAGCAGTAAAACAAAATATCAATGTTTCAATAAACCTTTCTTAACAAAAGTTGTAGTAGGTGAGTAGCAAAGGGATTTCATTATTGTTGGGGTAACAGGATAAATACGACAGGTATTATCCGAGAAAGATCGTCTTCAGTTAAACCCGTTCCTTTTTCCCCGTTTGTACGTCGCAATTTTATTGGATGGGTCCGGCCTGCGCTAATTAATAACTGTTGTGAGAGCACTTTTATTAGGGTGCAAAGCCCCGAAAGTTATCCCACTCTGATTGCAGGCCGCGCATTAATACGCACATGCGTAAAAATACGCATATACAATGTACATACATCACATTCACTCATCAACCCCAACGCATTTACTCGCTCCGTTCTAATCCTCTACAGTTATTGCGAAATGGTAAACTTACCCGAACATGACCGTGAAAAGCTTTAGTTACAATATTGGTGTTAGGCAACTCTCCAACTACTTCACAGGATCGAATCGTCAAACAAATAAAGTCTTTGTAAGATTGTACAATAAAACGTACAGTGTATTATCAATTGGAAAATTTCCCGAATGTGTCATAAAATACGTATGACTAGTGATTATATCTCGAACGACATTTTCAACAATTGATGCAATCTTACCAAAACTTGGGACACATAAAATTTAAGATGCTCGTCTGTGCTCATGATTATCACTGAAAATCCAGAAAGATAATAAAACACAATAACATTGTAGAGTCAGTCAGTATTAGAATCGCATTGTAACTGCCGATAGTATTCTCGTAGCTAAATTGAGTCAAGATACCGTTGAGTCGCTCCCATTAGGTGCAATAGCATCAGTAACTGTGTACAATACGTTTTGCGACACAAAAGCCACCACAGGAAAACAATCGATGCGATCGAATCAACAGAGATGAATGGCACAAAGGACAACAGCACTGGCTCAATATGGACAGATACGCTTTTCGCACGTAAAGGGGAGGGTAACATTGAATATACCACTTTCGTTACAAAAGCGTAGGGATTATTGTTTCAGATTCACTGTTTTATTTCAATAAGCATATATTGCCGTTGTATAGGTAAGCAATTACGGACTATGTGTGTGTTAAAAATAATATCTTTCGCGTTGGATTGTTTTCTGCTTAATGATATTTTCAATAACAGTTTCTCATTAAATTAATACACATTTTTATACACACTAGTCACAGGTGTTTCGAAATACTGCTAGGATACTCTATAAAAGCTGAAATCAGTTGTTCCTGCATTATTTTGAAGTAGTCAAATAGCCTTCCATCACACGACGGAATAAAGCGTTTAGTGTTCAGCGATACTGTTATTATTCAGTGGAGCGAGCTCACTAAAACGACAAACAACGCGTCGGCCCGCGCATTGTTTCTCTGAAAACGAGCGCAGACTGTTTGTCAGAGAATCGAATGATAGGTAAATAATGGCACGAGCCACATTATTATATCGATAGGAATCTGTGCGTTACTGTACAATCCAACTCAAATTGTTACTATCAATCGAATTTTATGTCGATGCGAGCAATGCAGATGTTAGATGTTTTGCATAACATTGTTTCGAAGATTTATTTATTTAACGTGTTATGATTTGAAGTTCCAATATTCGTTTCAAATAATAAATAATTACGTTCAGTCTATTTTATAGCATTTTTTGTACAGAATAGAGATAAAAGAATGTCATCGCTTTAGTTTTAGCAGACGTGTGCGTGTATTATCATAAATTCCTAAACGAATGTGAGGAAATTTCATCTAATGTTAACTGCAAAACTAATTGGTTGATAATAAAAGTGTTGCTAAGAAGATAATTAGTTAAATAGTTGAAGGCAACGAGATGGCAGTGTAAGATTACCAATTTTCATAACTCCTGGAAATCAAGTAAAGGAAAATAACAAAAGTACCGACACGGAAAATTATTCCTCGAGTACTGTTACGAAACGAAATGTCAGGAACGTAAACCCTGGGAATAATTTTAGAATTCTTACGAAACTAGACTGACCTTATCTGAGTCGGTGGTGTTTCCGCTTCCGAAGGATGCCAGCGAGTTGCGGTCTGTAGTGTCATCTAGTAGAGTGTCGTCCAAGTCCCTGTGACAAAACACGCTTGCTATAATACTTTTCATCATTACCTATTGTTGTTATGAAAAAATATTCATAATATTGAAACACAACCTCGTCGAGTATAATAAACGTATTTATTGAGCAAGGCCCCGGAAAAGACGCTAATTGGAACACGAAACCGTGATCGCTAAGTATTCAGAATAATCGACTATTTATATACGACATGGCTTCTTTTCTTAACCTGAGCAGCGCCGATCGACTCTTTCAGAGGCAGTCGGTTAAAGAAAACTGAGTTAATTATTTTCTTAATTGCTTTTATACCGTTACTTAGTGGATCGAGAGCAAGTTTTTCAGTAACTATGCAGTAAATTGTTTTTACTCTCAGCTGAAAGCTGCATAATACATTTTATAATTGGCTCATATGGAAAAATAAGTATTATGTTTAGAATTATCGCGAAGTAAATAATTTTAAATTGAGTTTTACTAATTTAAAAGTTGTCTAGACGACGAATTCATCAAATTGTAACGTCAATCAATATTGTGACATCAATGACACATGCAACAAAGCTTTGTGTAGTACTGAAATACACTTGTACTTGACGTCATAGATAAACTCTTGATGAGCTATGTATATTCTACGTTTTTAACGGTAATTGACGCTTAAATGTAAACATTGTTTTTTCCTCAAAACATGGCTGGGTTTACCTAGACACATTTTACATTTACCTGCTCGATCGCTGCGAACTAGTCGGCCGCACGCGGGCAGGGCTGCGCGGCGTTTGTTGTAGGGCTACACTGAAGTACGTTTCCTATTGCGAACAGACATAAAGTACCTTTAATTATCCACTCAAGTAATACATGTATTGATTGATATGACTGAAGAAGTTATGGTGAGAAACACAACAATAAAATCTCGAGTAAAGATTTGTGGTTTTGCGCGTGATATGGCAGGATTCTTACCTGGATCACTTCCCTCAGGCGTCGCACCCAGGTCTGCTTGACCTCGAGCGAGGGCGCCTTGAGCACGATGCGGCAGTCGCTCGCCATGGGCTGCCGACCCGTCCACACAGAGAACTTGCACTCATCCCCTTCTATGTGCTCCGTCACGCCCAACTCTGATGTCTATTCACAACAAAAACATAACTAACTGTGATGTTCCGTTCGAGATTTCAGCTATGCCACTATAGAAGATATTTTAAAAACAATACTCTCACACATACATTTAAATTCGCAAAAGAAACAATTACATTCACAAGCAATGTTGTTATACACCGACGATAATGTCTAACAAGACAACAAAAGACACAAAAATTTAACAACAGTGTGATAAACTCACCATGAATTTTGTCTTGTAAATGTATTTCGCTTTGCCGTGCGAGTCTTTGACTTCTTTGGCGAGCAGCAGATGAAGGTCGAAGAGGAACACCCTCCGCTCGCGGCCCTTCTTGATGATCTGGCGCAGGTCCCACACGTGGAACGAGTCCTGGAGGACCACCTCGCCCAGGCTGTCCGTGGGCACGTCGCAGCCTTCCAGAAGCGACAGGTGCATTGCATCGTTTGCCTTCTTGGGCACCGATAACATAACCTCCAGACCGTCCTGTAGGTGAACGTATTGATGAGTCTAATTGTAAGGTGTTTTGTAATAATTATAAATAGGTTGAAAAATCTAACTGCCTAAGGCGGGGAATCCGCGAACTGAAATTGAACCCACGACCTTTCGCTTGCTGGGCGAAAAAATATCGTGAACCACAAATCAAAACAAAACTTTTCTTTTTTCAACTGACATTTAGTATGGAACTTTTTTGTACTAAGCCCCAAACAGTTTCGATTCTTAGTTTTGAGCGACATTTAACAAATCCCTATAATGCGGTAGAAACGTATTACAATATTTCGTATTGCGAACCCTCGTTTAAAATATCGCGGGCAGCACAATCGCTCATTATTAATTTAAGCTGCGATGCGGCGACAGACTGGGGAAGCTTAAAATGTGACATGGGAATATTGATAAAACGAGAACGTCGATAACCTTATTATACTCACAATATGATTGCAAATTTTCACCACCCCTGATATTAATGATTTAAAAATGAGGTATCGTAAATATGTGATTTTTTTCAGATATTTTCAGAAGACATCATTAGGTTTAGTAATAAAAGAGCCAAACGATTTGAAAGCATAAAGAAAATACTGTTAAAGGTCGAGTCGCTGGAAACAGGTAACAAAACGATTCCTTTACGTGAATTTCTAAAGCGAGCAAATATACCACTTGTAGAAGAGCTACGTTTACGCTCACGTGGTCCTCGAGTGGGGAGGAATGCGAGAAACATTCAGCTCCACACAAACGGAAGGAACATATTTTCTAATCGTAATGCTTTCGGTATTTCTCATACTGAGTAAACTGAATACAATGGTCCTTTCATAACATTATAAAATATCAACGCCATTTTGTTTTCAAGGTTTGATGACTAAACATTGAAATCTTTGTATTGTATTAATAGTACAAGATAGCAAGAACCAATATTATTTGTCATATTAAAAAGCTAATAAGTGATTTTGTTTACAAATATACATTAGTATGTTACCCGTAAACAAACTTCGTCTTACAAATCAATAACATTTTGAAAGAAACATCAAACAGGAGTATAACGTAGTCATTATAAGAATAAGAGGTTACAACATGATCAAAGAAAACCCTAATAACACTCAATGTTCGCATCAGTGAAAATGCAATTAATTAATAACAAACAAGAGTTTTAACATAAAATGTTACAATAAGAGGAATGTCTATTCAAAAACAAAAGTTTTGCACAATCAAGGCACAGAATTCCTGGATATTTAATGACACACATTCTGATAGACATTGCAATTTAAATATAATGTTATTATTGTAATACGCTACATACATCGTGGCTGAGGCCGATTTGTGGACCAATTCGATTGCCGCGCACGCTCGAGAGGTACCTCAACATCATCACCTCTATCAAATCACTACTTTTGAGCACCATTACATATTTAGCAATTTTTCTAGCCACTGAGCACTCGCGTAATGAACCGTTCGACATTCGTAATCCCGGAGTTGTGGCGCAGGGGCCGGGCTCGTGACTCACGAGGAAAATATTGAACTAAATTTATTGTTCATTACAACCAAGTGAACTAAATGTTAAATAAAATAGCCAATAGATCCAACATAAATGGTGCATAAATTGTTTGTGACCAAAATAAATATGTACATGTAAATCGTATTTATTTCCGCCATTATTAAACATCGTTAGGAATGATAAAAGTGTAGTAAATACTAATCTAACGACATGACATGGTAACTGTTTACTACACATAATATTACTTTACGATTCTATTTCGTGTACATATGTTTATTTTTTAATAAATATGCATCCGCAGTTATATCTTTGAACATCGATTACCAGCGATAAAAATCTCGATTTGTAATAATCATTTAATCAATTTGTAATCAATGCGTTTTTATCATTGTAATAAAATAAAATAAACTTGTCGACATTTTCCGTATGTCAAGCACGAGAAGAATATAATAGTAAAAGTTATACAATCTGTACGTATAACTTAAATGATACCTACATATAATTATTAAAGAGCAATAACTTTACTATAGGTACGCAGTTAGTTATTAAGAAACCAAAGTGTAGGTTTGGTTATCAACAAACATCACGGTTGCACTTATTGAACTTATTTAGCACATGATCCTGGCACTGGTATAATTAAAAAGTCTTGTATCCAACCTTTATGTAGCTGCGGAACATAGAAAATGTTTATTCCAACGACATATATCACTTAATAACTTTTCATCGCCGAGCCTTTTTAATAATTTACTGTGATGTAACTATTCCAATCCGTAGTCTCTTCAATTTTACATCGTAGCCATCTTTATCTTATCTGGCTGACTAATCTCTGAGCCTAACTTCTACACAGCGATAAGCTGTCAAATGTTGTTTCAAATGTACTGAGGAAAATCCTTTCCATTGTTAAAACACTTGCAATCATAAAAAATCGTCGATGTCTCATTACATTGATTTGCAAAAAATATTATAAAGTTTACGAGAAAATGTATCCGAGGCTGTAAGAAACTTTTAATCAGGCGACGGTGGTGGCAAATAAAAAAGCGCTCGTTCTACGTTCAATACGCACAGAGCGAACCTTTTGAGCAAATACAAGTTTTGAGTGAAGAGGTTCTTGCTACGTTAACGAGATGCCGTGCAAAAGTTAAATAAGCAGACACCGCGGAAAGCTATCTTAATTCAAGTCACATTTATAATCACGAAGTTTTATTTTAAGAGTGAAAGATTTTTAATTATTTTTTGTCCGGATAAAAGTAATGTAGTTGTGCGAGAAACTCATATAATATGTTTTATCCGGAGAAGAAATGTCTTTGTGATAATATATTTCCACGAGACACGCGATAAAGACCTACAACGCATGAGATAAAGAAAATAATGAAAGAAAAATGAGTGAAATGACTACAAAACTATACCATATTTCTACTGACAGCATAATGTTACAAAAATCAATTTAGTATATTACAATCGTAGATTTTTGGCGAGATAACTCTTAGAGTTGGATTTTATTGTGGTGGAGTGAGGTTTATTGACATTTTAGCCATTTTAATATAATATCCTTTTAAAGACACAAGTGCCATTGGTATTTTTTCCAAGACCCAGTGACACTTTCAACGCTGCACGCTGCTGTAAAATCTTAGGATACGCTGTCTTAGGAAAATCTATTCATTTCCGGAATTCTTTCACTGTATACCCAGGTGTATAGTTGCCACGAGAAGTGACGCAAAATCGAACAACTTTTAGAAGATCAAAACATTTTTTTAACGAACTGAAGAATAGGATTTTAAGTGATTCTAAATTAATATTCGTAATGAGATTCGTTGTCTGTGCCTAATGTGGATTTTCGTTTGCAAAAATATAGAACATTTTACTAAGTTTCTGTTGTCATAATTGTAGATAATAGGCACGTGATATCCTGTTATCGAGAATTAGATGCAGAAGTTATGTAAGTCCACTGACCTTGATTTCGCCCTGTCCCTCGGCGCAGCAGGCCTGAAGGTCCTTCAACAGCAGCTGGTATTTGGTTATCCTTTGCACGGGCTTTATTAGGTACGCCGCCAGAGGATGTTCCAACTTCTTCTTACGTTGTACCCTGCACGAACACACGCACCATTTATACAAAAATCACTTTGACAAACATAACACAGTCAAGTCCAGAGCTGCACTGCACTCGAATGTAAAGACAGCTAAGTAAGTAATCGTCCCGTCTGTTTTAAGCCTCGATAAAAATATTACTCGGGAACCTGCTAACGCGCGTTATCGTAATGACTCCGTAACGAGCGAAGGCGACTCAATAAGAATGTATGTTCACAAATTACCATTTCTAGATAACCAATAGATATGCGCAATGTAATGCCATTTACAAATACAATCACCACTTATATTGTACATAACAATAACAACAAACAATAATCTAAATCTTTAACTTAAACATGACACGACAAGAAGAAGATGACTAGAGGTCCAAAAATGTTTTGAAGATGATGTAGATGCATTGATTGATTCACATTTCACATTGAAAGATTTAACAAATAAGCTTCTTCATTGATTTTATAGTAAAATAAAATCAACATTTTAATAAAATGACTAAGGATAACGGGGATAATAGTGGTAAGGAATCATGAATGAACAAACAAAATAATGATAACATTAATTTCATTAAGTGAAATAATGTCCATTCTTTGGACATAATAAATGAAGAGTGCTTAGACTAATTTCTAGTGTAAGTGAAAGTGAGGTGAAACATCACCTCACCAGGTATTTCTGTATTCTATATTTTAAAGTAAGTCAGTGATATTATCTATACCTTGGTAGCTAATGAAAAGTTGTAAAAAGATAAGATATGATATGGGGTTACGACCTATGCAGCCTTAAGTCAGTAGAAGGTCGTTACTTCGTATTCCAGATTGTGTATGGTGTTAACTAAATAATGAGATAACTCTACTATCTCTCTAAAGAGTAAGACGTGTAAACGCGTTTGTTCAAATCAGTTGAGCTCCACAGTGAAACACGAAGCACAGGCGTCGAGAGATGCACATCGGAGCGCGTATTAGACAGAAGGCCCGGGAGTGAACGGGAGTTGTGGCAATAGTTCCTTCTTCGTTTTTGATGTTGGCAATATTCGTCGAAGCCGACTTGATTTGTACCATTTTCATGTTTCAAGTGAGACGTGTTATAAACTGGGACCAAGTGGGATGAGACTTGAGTTAAATAAATGATATAAGGAAGGATGATAGATGATGCCCCTTCCCACCCCTTGAGTCTCAGTTAAGTTGTGGTGCTTTACTGAGACCTCATTTATGGACTACTTGAGATAATCCGAAGTCTGTTCTGGGCCTAAGGGGGTAAAACGCGCGTAAGAAGTCGGGGGCGGCCGCTAGTAATACTACATTATCTTATTAATTATCTTACCTGTCGAAGTAGTCGCCCGCGTACTGCACGACGGCCGCGTTGCTGTCGGGCTTGTTGCGGCAATACGCGACGTACATGTCGAACTCGCGCGCCCACGTCACGAAGCAATGGCCCACGTCCTCCGGCATGGACTCGTACTTGTCCAGCTCGCGCAGGAACACGCGCTCGTGGAAGCGGTGGATCTCCTCGATGTTGCCGAATATCAGCTCCTCCTGTTCGTGACGTCAGATTTGGATATTATTTCCTACAACGCATATAAGTAACGAAGAAACGTACACGGAAAAATACCTCGTATGTATGTGGGAGTGTGAAACGGAACGCAAGGGAGTGAGTGAGACGGAATGAATGAGTGAGGAAGTAAGAACGACGGGATTTAAACAGAAGACGATTAGTATTAAGGNTGTCTCGCTCTAATGCTCAAGGTCGTTCGGCCATGTAATCGCCTTAAGACGGTTCTAAGACGGTCCTATTTTTGTGGTTTATCCTGGAGTAAATACAAATAAAGCTGAAGAAATACAACCTGGGTTTCAATTCCTACATGTATTACTAGAATTCTGGTAAATCCAACAAAATTCTCCGAGCATAGCACGCTCCATCGCCCTTTGGGTGACCTTGAGCCTTCTTATGAGGCCCATAGTAAGCGACCACGTCTCAGATCCGTATACCATCACTGGCAACACACACTGATCAAACACTTTTGTCTTGAGACACTGTGGTATTTCGGAAGTAAGAATACCGCGAATCTCAGGGCAGACCTCCCCACTATGTGGACCGACGATCTGGTGAAGGTCGTGGGAGGTGCCTGGATGCGAGCGGCGTAGGACCGGTCTTTGTGGAAATCCTTGGGGGATTTCACAAGAAACGGTGGCCAGGTGGTTCTTGAATGACAGCAAGAGCCATCTATAATATTTTAAACTATTATGTTGCATTTTTTACTATAAAATTATCACTTCACGGGATTTACTGTTAGTGTGGTTTGTCGGACTGACTGTACCACTGACGAAAATATTGTGCAAATGCGGGTGGGTGAAGAAAACTCATCGCGCCGGAGCAGACGACGCCGCATCTCTTCAGTCTGCCCGCGACCATGACTCGTGCAACCGAGCCGAAACGTCGGGAGGGTAAATATTATTTACCGTTAAAATAGATATTGTTGCAATAAATCCCGTGAAGTGATAATTTTAAGAGCCATCTAGTGGAATAAACTTAAACTGAATCATGTTCACAGCCAAAGACTTCATCCAAGAATACTGAGAACCTCTTGCTCGGATATTGAGTTCTAATTATTTCAATGTTGACGACGGACTTAGAACAAGCATGTTTTGCCTCAATGGAAATTGTACACCTGAAGCAGGTGATTTGAATACACGGTGGCCATTAAATTATGTCACATGTTACAAGTTAAGAACATACGCCCGTATTCACAAACGATGCTTGCTTAAGTGAAGCAGCAAATCGAACGCACAGCGTTACACGGCGTTAATCTATACTAATATTGTAACTGTGAAAGTAACTGTCTGTCTCGCTTTCACACCTAAACTACTGAACCGATTTTGATGAAGTTCAACATAGAGATAGTTTGAGGCCCTGAAAAGGACATAGGATAGTTTTTATCCCGGTTAACGAAACAGAGACGCGCGCGATAAAGTTTTTAGGTGACAGACAAAATTCCACGCAGGCGGAAAGCTAGTAAACAATAATACTGTAAAGTTTCATCAAAATCGTTCAGTAGTTTTTGCCTGAAAGAGTAACAAACATCTATACATCCAAACTTTCACATGTATACTAGTAGGATGATCCAAGTTAAAGTTAAGAACATATAATCTCCTAATATGCGTACCTTCCCCTGTAGCGGCGCGGGCACGGCGCCGGGGTCCGTGCGCATCTCACGCAGGTAGCACGTGATGCAGGTCTCCAGGTCCTTCACGTAGGCGCGCTCCGTCTGCAGCAGCTCCGCCATTATGAACCTGCAGGACGCAATAACGGTTAGTACATCATAATAATGCACACTTTCTCTCACTTACTACAACTAAAGCCTGGTCCGTGAGCACGTAGAATCCCGTCCAATGACCCCAAGCTACCCATCCTTATCGCTCGCGCGTAATTATATTGCTTTCGCGACTGTGCGACGCGCGCCCGCAGTGGGTGTGCGAGCGCGACAGCAACATAATTACGTGGGCGTACCTGTAGGCTTTATACAGAGTGTTGATTTCAATGCTCGCCATATTTAGAGAGTTGATTAAGTAGCTTATTCTGATCACGAATCAGTAAAAAAATGACTTCGAAGTTTTAAAACGAACTTTATACTTTAGTTAGTCAAAGAAAAATACCTATTTACTACCTACTTTACGTGGCTTCCTTCAGTAGGCTATCCAACATGATAAGCGAGCGATCCGCGTAGTTCGATAGGTGCCGCATTGTAAACGTATTGCAGTATTGCGAGCCACATCACAGGTGATGTCGCACGGAAAATATTCGCTAAAAATTCTACTTTCGTTTGTATTTTTTTGGTAGATAATGCGTTTTGTATAAGTCATAATAGATCACCTAAATAAATATGGCGAGGATTGCAATCAACATCCTGTATAAGATGCCACAATGCAAAGACATGTATTGACATTTCCAGGCTGAATACACGTGGTCCATCAAACAGCGAGCTAATTCGCAAGTAGCCTCGCAATATCGATACTTAATTCGAAAGGCGATTCATTTATGTCTAATGTCATAATAATTTTTATGAGAAACTAGATTTCCGCCCGCGGCTTCGCCCGCGTGGAATTTCGTTTATTAAATTTTCCTGAATTTTCTTTGGTATAAACCTCACGGAGCCCGAGACCTTTCCAACGAATGCAAAATCGTGGAAATCGGTTCGTGCGTTCTTGAGTTATAGCGTCAGGAAGGAAAACCCGACTTATTTTTATATAGTAGATAGTAGACATTTATTATTGTATAATTTCTTTCAGTACTGGTTACATCATAGCAATAAATTGAAAGGAATTAAAATCTTCGGCTTGATTCTCTTCAAGTATTTTTTTTTTTATGTATAAAAAGCTGTAGTAAGCTGCTACGTTATACTCACTCTTTGCGGCGAGCGCTGCGGCGCTTGTCATCGCCAGCGGCTGTGGGCTGGGGCTCCTGGCGCTCGTTCTCCGCCGACTGCGAGGAGGCCAGCGACGGCGCCACGCCCGAGTCGCTCTCCGCCTCGCTCTCGCCGCCTTCCATCGAGCCGCTGAACTCGGCATATCTGGGTAAAACACGTAAACATTACCCTACGTACTAAAAAACACGGTAATTATGATTCTAATGAATTGCCAATCAGTATCAAAACAATCGTTGACCATTAGTCTAACTCTCGTCAATAATCAATTGTTGTTCCGAACCCTAAGAAAATTATGGGGGTTCTACCCATTAACGATTATCATTTGGGCGCATTTCGTCAATTCGCAAAAACTGTACCTCTAGTACGAAAAACTTTCGAGTTCGTTTCGTTTGCGTATTCAAAGTGTCATCGAAAAATTTTGTATGAAAAATTAAACAGCGCCCCCTAGGGCGGCTATAATATAGGGGGCGCTGTTTAATTTTTCATACAAAATTTTTCGATGACACTTTGAATACGCAAACGAAACGAACTCGAAAGTTTTTCGTACTAGAGGTACTGATGAGTGAAGTCATAATTAAATATCATCACACTTATACTTTGTTACGTGAAAATCAATTAAATCTATCAAATAAAAAAAACGTTTTTCTGGCTTAAAATATTGATGGAGGATAACGTAGTAAGATATATTTATTGGTGCCTTTTATTTCCTTAACTAAGTTATTTTTAAATAAAAATGAAAGCAGGTACGAGCATTTTGTCTCCTAGTATAACAATAAAAACGTTTTAAGTTTAAAATATACCAAAATAACCTTAATAACAGAAAACAAAAACATAGTGACCAACTTTGCCACAGGCCCCGGGGGGATTCGAACCCCCGATCTCCTGTTTACTAGACAGGCGCTTTAACCAGCTAAGCCACGGCGCCGATACAAAGGACTGCGAAATTAGCGTAGTCTTGGGAGACAAATGTAGTAAATGCAAAATTGACAAAGAAAAGATGTACCCAAATCTAAAACCTTTTAGACTGTTTTATCTGGTTTTGACCTTTTTGATATTATTCTGTTTAATATGCACTGTCTTGGTGATCTTAAAATTATTTATTTCACTTGGAAAACTAATTAATAAACTGGATAGAAGTAGGCAGCACTTGCAGGGTCGAAATTTAAATAGGCATTAATAAATCCTTTAAAGAGAGAGTAAATCTGAGTCCAAGTATTAATTGAGACGAATAGGTATCGAGTCTACTAGATTAACAGATGCACACTCTAAGCTGATGATAACGAAAGAGGTCTGTCAACTCTCCCACAAGGATCTGTTAAACCCTGATATGGGTAATAATGGGTATATTTGTGTAAAAAATCAAATTACTGTCCACAAGCCAGGTGTTTATCACAAACTGACTGGAAGACTAGGTTTTACCTGTAAGGTAAATGAGTTGTAAATTAGGTTTATTTTAACCTATGAATTAAAATGGATCATAAAACAGTATACCCAATAGTAAGTGGGACACTAAGCGAAAGTAATTTAGACTTCATGCATGACTGGCTGGTGGCACGTAGTAACATATTGTACTGATACACTGTCCGCTGTTTATTTCAGCCTAGGCGCAGACCACCGTTTTTCTGTCGGCCGATAGTGGGCCCGATTCTAATTTGTATGAGGAATCGGCCGGCACCAAATCGGTGTAATGAGCGCACTTTCATACATCTCCATACTGCTCAACAGCCCGGCACAACTATCGGCCAACTAAAAATCGGCGATCTGCGCCTAGGCTTACAGTAAAATAAAATAAATAATAAATAAATAAATATCCTTGGACATTTTACACTGCGCTTCTAGTCCCAAACTAAGCAAAGCTTGTACTATGGGTACTAGACAATGGATATAAACATACTTAAATACTTTTTTTTTGTAAATACATACATATTATACATAAAACACACCCAGCCCAATACAAACAAATATGTTCATGCACACAAATGTTAGTACTGTGCGGGAATCGAACCCGCAACCTCCGGAATAGTAGTTCGTTTTGAACCACTACACCAAACGGGCGACAGTGAGTCCGCAACTGACCTAGCATCGACGGCAGCGACCCACTCCTTGATTTGCACGGCGTGCGGGTGTCCCTTCTCCACGAGCCCGTCGGCCAGCTGCGCGAGCAGGCGCACCCGCTCGCGGCTTTCGCGCGCCACGCCGGCCGCCGCCGCCGCCGCCGCTGCGCCGCAACGCTCCTGCGTCTCCCGGATCCATTCCACCGCCGCGCGCGCAGACCGCTCGAACAGAGCGAACTGCTGGCACTGCTCGAGACGCTTCTTACGCACTGTCCAGTGCTCCAATACCTGTTTAAAAAACAATTATCAGTTATGAAAATTTAAGATAATAATTGTTTTTTTTTTATGAATAGGATGTACCGGTTGTATGAGCACCATAACAAAACTCCTGAGCATATTCGCGGCAGCCGCGCAGACGCGCAAGAGCCATGGTGCGCCCCCGCGAATGATGGCGAGCCTCATACTGCGATACCATCGCTCGCGGAACAAAAGCCTTATTGTCTCTAACGCCCGCCCCGCGACACTGGCATTGACAATGCGACTAATAATAAAAACGGACAACGCATTTCGTAATCGAAACATAAATATTTTCATGTGACATAGCTGGAATTGTCCGTTAGCTTATAAACAAATAAACAACTAGACAAACGTAAACTCGTACGTATTGAAGTTACGTTTCTGAAACTATAAAGAAGAATTTATACTACAATGGTATCACTATATTTTTTACACGGAAACATCCGTTCTTGTCGTGACAAAAATAAACTAATTTACATAAAAATAGATCAGATTGTATCGCATCTAATGACGTAGTATTAACGTTTAATTGAGATTCATTTGCTCACAACCAGAGCATCTGACACAAGGATATTTTGAACATAAGGTAGATGTACCTAGTTCAATTCTACAATCAGGAACGATACAAAAAGATAGCCATCATCATTCTCGTGTAGGCCATACTATATTTATGACATGTAAATAACTGACATTATATCTAAAGGACATAATATCGAGGTGAAGGTTACAACACGGCCACGAGGACTAATACATTATAGGATAATATTATACGCATGACATATGAGTACCTTTGAAACTGACCAACGGGTCTCAAACTCATTTATGATGTGCATGACTATTTAGAACTTGACGTTTAGTGGGTATTTCTAGAGCTGTGGTCAGTCTCGCAGACTCGAATTTTGAGTTTCATTCATATCTTCATTGAGTTGATAAGGGTTGTTTTGAGTGGTGTATCTTTCACGAAGATCCAAGACCACGGTTAGATGACGAAACTGCGGAGGTTTTAGTACGGGACCGGGAATTCCTTTGGGTCCACACTGTCCTTCGACAGCGGTGAGTAGTGTACAGACGACGGCATGTCAACGTAAACGCCGTAGGATCTTGTAGGTGCGATATAGTCTGTGCTGTTCACCGTACCTTGTTCTCCTGCGCCAGCAACGTGTCGAGGATGGCGCGCGTCTGCTCGTGGTGCGCCTTGCTGGCGGCGGGCGTCTGGCCGTGCACCTGGGCCGAGCGCGCCGCGTACTTCAGGAAGGTCTCGGCCGTACGCCGCGCGAGAGTACAGGCCTTCAGGAAGGCCTCCTTCTGCTCGCCGTGCTTCACAATCAGTGCGGCCACCTGTTATACAAGGCGTTTATCTGGTTAGTAAGTCGAAAGATGTGTTTGCAGATATCACTATGAAAGATTGGGTAATTCCACACCCATATGAACGGTTGTGGATACCATTTAAGTACACAAGAAAGTATTGAAGGGGTACTAGGGTCCAACAATACAATAAGATGGAAGGAAATACGATGTGACATTTAGCGACAAAAACTAAAAGGAAGGAAATTCGATATAGCATTTAAATCTGAGTCAGAAAGTAGGTATTTTATTTAGGGCTGATTTTTCAATCGTCAGATAAATTTTAACTGAAGAATAATCTTGTCATTTTGACATATTTCTCATACTAAATCTGTCAATGTGTCAAACTTAGTTAAAAGTTATCCAACGATTGAAAAATCAGCCCTTAGTAAGTTAGCTACAACAATATACTAACAGCTTCTATCAGGGAAATAAAAAGTGTTGTATGTAGGGTATCTCATATATCATACCTGTGCAGCCTTATCAATGGCCGCCGCCTGCGCCGGCTCGTCGGTAGCGGGCGCAGCGGCTGACCCGCACCAGTCTTCGTCGCGTCGGTACTCGCGCTCCAGCGAGTCGAGTACCGAGCACACCTGCTCCGCCGTCTTGTAGAAGTTCAGAGAAGCCGTCACTAGCTTGTGGCGCTCTTCTGCGCAGGTCACTAGGCGCTGCCAGCGCTCGGTCACTTCTTCGGATATTTCTCTGTGGAACAAGAGGCTGGTGTGATGAAAGACGACGAAACCACGTGAGACTTGGTTTGAGAAATAAACTCTTATTCACTCCAGACCAATATCCCTTTTGGGGTTAAAAGAATACACTTCAAACCATCTTTGACACTTCTATATAAAAAAAATTAGGTCAGTTTCAGAAATAAAACCATAGGAACTGGTTTTTACTGGCGCTACACAAACTAGGTACCAATAAATCTTACTGTAACTTTGAAGGGTAGGTTTTTATAGATAGGGAAAAATTAATAGTAGTGCTTATAACGAGTTCCAGGCGAAAAGTAGGAATACATCGTGTCTCGCTATATCGCGCTCACCTGATCGTATGCGGATCGTAGTGGTTAGCAGCTCGCAGCGCGTCCGCGCGGTACTTGACCTGCACGGCGCTGGCGTGCGTCTTCTCCACGGCCACCTGGAACTGGTCGTGCTCGCGCTTCAGCTGCTCCGCTTCGGCCAGCGTGCCAGGGATGGAAAATGACGCCGCCAGCATGGCCTCGCCGTTGCGTATCCAGCTGACCACTTGGGCTGCGTCCTTTTGGAATTGACCTGTGGAATAACATGGTGTTAGAAATACAAAAATATGTCAATGTCTGGTATGCTATACACATGACTTTCAAATCAAATTTTACGGTTTGTTAATCGTTCGTTCTCCACGGCTGGATTGGATGTTATTTGGGTGAAACGAACGAACGAACGAATGTTGTAGGTATATTATTATTTGTCTGACGTAAAGTACGTTTTTCTGAACGTGTTTTGGACTCTACAATAACATCTGCTGTTTAGTTTTTTGTAAATAGTAAGGGGTTACCCTTACAGTACGGTTTAACAACCTAGTCCATAAAATCGTACTGTATCTGAAATTCATATTTTGGACGTAGCCTGTTTTGTACGTCTTAAATAAATAAATAAATAAATATGCTAGTTGACAGTCCACCCCATCCATACTGCCCGCCGCCATATTATGATAATCATTACAGCAAGCTTACCCAGCTGCACGCACTGCTCGAAGCGCGCTCGGCGCTCCTCGGCCAGCTCTTCCAAGTCTAGCTGGCGGTCGTGCAGGAATTCTAGCAGCAGTTGCACCCGCGCCTGCGAGTCAAGAGGCGCCGGGTCCGCGCCGTCAGCGCTCCCTGTTGCCATCACATCCGCCGCCTCGGCAATCGCTGCTGCCAACTCCTGCCCTTGTTGCACCACCTGCGAATAGACATGTTGACACCACCAGTCAATTGACGTACTTTTCAAAACTGTCAAAACGAAACTCTCCCATAGATTTTGTATGGCACTACAAGCAAGTAAAACTACTTTTTTCAATTACAATGCGACCAAAAATCGTACTCGTATCGTAGTTAATTTAAAATTAATTAAGTTTTTAAGACCAGAATGAAGGGTATTTTAAAAAAAGTTGTGGTTTCGAATTATTGGGGTATGGTGTCAAACTGTCTATTGAGAAAAAAGTTAACACTATGGCTGGAGACAGTAGTAGTCAGTAGCCTCAAAACCACACGCTGAAAAACGAAATGCTTATGAACGTATACAGACCACCGTTCCTCAAAAAAGCAAGCTCATTTTTTGCTCTGAAATCAGATCCCAAACCATCTTGCATGCATCGTTGTAATAAATAATTAAAGAGATTTCTAGAGTATTGTGTGCAGAATTTTTATTCTTTTTCTTTGGGACGACTATCGGCTTAAGTTGTATGTGAAAAAGTAGTAAAAAAAACTCAATCATCTTTATTAGAACTAACGCTTATTGCAATTTTCGGTACCATTCATTGACCTAATAATATACTTTTGTCTTAAGTTTTTTCTTGTACGTACTTTTAAACAAGCACTCTTACAAGAGTGTTTTCTCAAGTTGGCGAAAACACACGTTATTTTGAACAATTAGTTAGTATTTATCAAACTTTATGGTGCGTGTCGGCCGGAAGAACTAAATTATGATACACTAATAAAAGCCGAGAAAATATCAATTCGACGACTCCATGTGATTGATGGTTTCCTCTGATTATTAATTGTAGATTACCTGTCTCAAATAATGCGTTTCATAAAAATTAATTTACTCTTTAAAACTTTTTGTGCAATTGGAATAGCTATGTGCTATCGAAAACTATGTCAGCAGCTTAACAATCTGACCCATTTGAGATTATACTTGCATTATTTAATCTTTGTGTAAAATTAAAATCATTATGGATCAGTAAAAACCATAAACCAACATTTCCATAAGGTCTAACTAAGGCACTAAACTTACTACATATTCCTATAATACGCATCGTTCCCCAAACTTCAATACTTCAAACCATCATCAATCCAATCGTGTTTAGTTCATTCTTTTTTTATTTATAAGTCCCGTTAACCACAATATTGCGGCTCCGTGCGCTGCCGCTCGAGGCACACTAAAGCCACCCTCATGACCGTCAACCACCAGCCAACTCCGGTGATGTTACCTGGTAGGTGGCGTGCTGCATCCTGGCCACGCTCTCGTTGTGCGCGGCGAGCGCCTGCTCGGCCTGCTGCGGGTCGCGCGGCGGCTCCGTGCGCTGCCGCTCGAGGCACACTAAAGCCACCCTCATGACCGTCAACCACCAGCCAACTCCAGTGATGTTACCTGGTAGGTGGCGTGCTGCATCCTGGCCACGCTCTCGTTGTGCGCGGCGAGGGCCTGCTCGGCCTGCTGCGGGTCGCGCGGCGGCTCCGTGCGCTGTAGCTCGTCGCCCCACAACTCAAGGCGCGAGGACACCTGACGAATAGAAACGCTTTTCAAATGCTGAACAATCTACGGCTATGTTTAAAATCTAATTTACTATTTATTAATCCATCCCTAATTGGGCAGTCGATTTTGAAATTAAAACTTTTTACTATTGCATACATTAATATGAAGTATGCTCGTATTATGTCCTTAAAATTCATTGTCTTGCCTTCATTGCATAATCAAGAAAATGGTATAGTACATAATCATTACACAACAGCATGCGATAATTCGAAAACGAAAAGAGTTTATTTCCATTAACCATTCCATTTTTTTATTTCCTTTGTGTCCATTTTACCGTATCGTTCTATTGTCACAAACTAACATTAGCATATATGAACTGGTATTAATTATAGTATTGACTATCGGTTATTGGCAATGCTTGGTTGCCACCGTCACGTCCCATAAATACATAGTAATTCTGAACACTGCATAATGATAGAGAAAAACAGAATCGGCACACACGGGCTAACTTTTCCTCTGTTTTTATATTCAGTTTTTATTTGCGTAGAACTCATGGAGCGGTATTTACACAGGGTACTTGTAATGTTTGCTTCCATGAAACGAAAGACGGCGGCTGCAACTGAAATTAACCCAGCTTTCTTTGTTAGCACAACTTTTTTGTTTCATAAGCTTAACTCTATGCTGCTAGCAATATTCCCAACCAAGTAAAATATTATCGTCGAGGTAATTGGAACAACTGCGCTGATTACAAAATTATTTCAGACTACACTATACACAAGCAGCTACGGTTTATTTCGGAAGTACTATAGCTGTCAAAGAATCCGCTAAAAGGATTTATTAGACTACTAGCTGACCCGGCGAACTTCGTACCGCCTTAGCGTAGAGATTTTCTTAATATTTTTTCCGTAAGAACCATCCTTGGACTTCCACAAACATTAAAAAAAAAGAATTATCGAAATCGGTTCAGCCGTTCACACGTGATGCCGTGACAACGCGAAACGGGTTTCATTTTTATATATATAGATAAATAAAAGTTCTAGTCAATTTACAATTCAATTTTACTTAAAAGCGTTAGAATGACTTGTGCAACAACAAGTACAACGACGGTACTTAATAACCCATTTAAGTGACGTCCGGGAAAATTTACTGTAAGTTGTAATTTTAGTACCGCGTACAGGATTTTTCCCACCTATCAGTAATACAGATCCTGTGAAACCAGGATCTAGGACTTAAATGCTAATGAATCGCAACCAATGCAAGTGTGGCTAATCACGAAGGAAAGATGAAAATGGAATTCGACAAACAGCGCTGTGGTAACTGTAGACTAGAATGGGACCACACTTCTTTCCTTGCATTTTAAATAGGGTCGTTCTACAGTGGAAACCTGAATGACTTGACGATGAAGTGGTAGTGTTACCTCGGTTACGTCGCGTACAAAGTGCGTCAGATGGCGGGTGAACTCAAACCTGCGCTCGCGGTCGGACCAGACCTCCTCGAAGGCGCCTTGAGTGCCGGCGTGGGGAGTGTAGGCCTAAAGCCAATCCCTCTGTTTTGCCTTGGGTAATAGAGGCTCGTTCTGTAGTGGAGATTTGAATGAACAAATGATGTTGTATGTACCTCGAGTGCGTCGCGTTCAAAGTGCCTCAGCTGGAGCGTGAGCTCAAGCCTGCGCTCGCGGTCGGACCACAGCTCCTCGAGCGCGCCGCGGGTGCCGCGCAGCCGCTCCAACGTCGTCTCCACGGCGGCTGTGCTCGCCGCATCTGAGTCGCCCGACGATCTGCAAACAGAAGCAGAAAAAATACGTTTAATACCAAGCTGACATTACAAGACTTGCGTTGATGTTGGACTGAAATGGAGCGAGTGGACGCTGGGTGAAGTATAGGAGAGAGTTACTTCTGATTAATATCAATATTGTTGCCTAAACTCAAAACCCATTTGGGTGCTAAGTAAACAGATCGACTCGTGTGCTCTTATCTGTTGTTGTATAGAATATCTAAAAGGATAAACATGGTACAACTAAACCTCTGATAGTAATGATTTAGACAAGCGCCGTAAAGTCAGTCAATACTGCTTCTCATTTAAGATAAATTATAAATGAACTCCAGACACTTGACTTGAAAGTAATTTACAATTTTAATCGAAGATACTAGGCTTAATTTGGTCCCTGGAACTTAGGAAAAGACAGAAGTAAGTAGTATGCCAAAGTTAAACGAAGAGAGTTGAAGAAAGTACTACAAACCTCCATCGCAAACACTGCACAGGCGACTTGTGCCTATGGGAACGCCGGTGATATTTGAGCATTTTGCGGAAAAATGCTCATTTCACTGGCCGTCACACTTGTAACTGTCCAACAGTCGTTAATCGTTTCGTGTCACTGCACTAATACTGATTCTAACAGCTGCTAGTTAAAATAACGGGTACATTTTGAGTATTTTAAGGCATTTAAGAGAGCAAACACGTCGGGATGGTGATTATAGCGCGGCCGACCTACTGCAGCGCCGGCGCCTACTGTTATGTTACGGTTGGATAGTAAATAAGCTAATTCAACTCCTTCCACGTGTGTTGTACTTATCCATCTATCTCGTGCGGTAATTGCATCAACTCCCTCGCTTGTTTATAAGATGATAATTAATAAAACTCATTATGATCACCTTGTTTATAAACACAGCCCTCAATTCAATTGGACTGAACAATTCCTGCTGTCTATTCAAGCCACGAGTAAATGCAATAAACAGCATTTGTGACAAAAACATATTTTCTCATAAGTTTTCGATTTAATGATATAACAATATCTTTTCACTCTTGTAACGTTTGTTCTCATAACTGGTGTTGTGTGAAATATTTTCAATCAGTCGGAAATTCCGTTCACTGAACAGCAAAATGTTTTAAAAACAATTGTTTGTGATTAAGCAATAAAAATCAACGTTTTTCTGAACTCTACCTATGTACAGACAACAGCACGTCAACGTAACCACTGTGGGTTCTTGTACAGTTGTAATAGGGGCGAGATTGCAACAAAAATGGGTAACCTGATGTCCTGTCGTGTGTACGTGTGGGCGTGAGGAAAACCTCTGATAATAAAGTAAGGTTATGACTTGTTTTTTACTTAGTACTTAGTAGTGTAAACAGTGTAGTGTGCCACAGACCAGATCATATTCTTAGCTAGGAGCTAGAAACTGCAAAAATACATATAATTTCGAAAGCCGGCGCGGACAAGGTGCGCGGGCGCAACATCCCGTCGCTGTGACCGGTCGAGGCTACGACAAATTGCCGCGTATTAGCGCTAGGTTACATTTATCGCTGGCCAAGATGTACAAACCAATGATGATGACCCAGTCATGATGATCAAATCAAACCTATCATAAAAATATCGTTGAAGTTTCCTTTTCAAAATGTAGCTGGGAAAACCAACCAACTATTGAATTATTGGAGCTAATTATAATTTTAATAAAGTCTAAGTCTGACAAATCATGCTCTTTAGTTTTAAAATGCACTCTGTCAGCCAGCTCAAATCACGCAGCCATAACGTTGGCAATGACAGAATACACCAATCTACACACTCGAGTCTAAATTGATAAGTCAATTAAACATGTTCAACCAAAACATCGACTGTCTGGTTTTATCACAATTGACGACTTTGTCTAAAAAAACACGTGGATAGATGTGGTAAACACGAGCGCCACAAAATGAGTTCTAATAAATATCTGAAAAGGCCGATTAATTTAAGAAACATGTTCAGCAAAAAATTTTGAAGATAATTGCAAGGCTCATTAAAGTTACAACCAGCTAGGCTAGTGCTATCCCATATAGGTTCTCTCTCAAGCACGTAAACAGTAAAAGTAGTCTCACAACCTTTTGACCCGCATGTAGCAAGCAAGCTTCATTTGCCATGCAGCATGCAAGTCCAGTTCGTGCCGCGGCGCACACGGAGATTCCACTCAGATGGGCGTTTAGATCGCCATCGGCAATAAATAAAATATGAAACGCTGAAAATCACGTATGAGATGCAAGCATTCCGGGCAGAGGCAGTTTCTAGTGGCGTCGGAGCGCGGCGCATTCCTCGCGCGTCGGCGGCCAATCGGAACCGAGAGATATCCGACGCCCGCGACGCCACTTTTATCGACCATTAGAAAATCTGGGGGCACGGCAGTGCCCCCACCAAGTCGAGCAAAAAAGCGGCACGGCCGTACCATCCTTTTCTCGAAGCAATTCAGGCCATTTTCGACCGCCTGTAACTTCGTTGTGGATAAAACTAGAAGGCTGAATTTTCATTAGCTATGCAGGCATTGTAAAGACACGGTATATTTAAAATTTCATTCAATTTGAACCAGTAGTTTAGGAATTATAACGGGTCAAAGTTACTTAATTTTGTCACTCACTGACTGACTCACTGACTGACTCACCGATCATCAAAACTCTAAGGCACTTCTAGCAGACCTAGAAGCTTCAAATTTGGAATATAAGTAGTGTTTGGTGTATGAATCAAGGAAAAACTAAAATATTTGGGGGCACGGTAGTGCAACCGCCAAGTCGAGTAAAATTTTTCAATTTCGGTCCAGTTTTCTAGATACATAACTGCTGTCTACAAAATACAAAAAGAAATGAGAACCCATCAAAAACAATACTTGTCAAAAAAACCAAGTCTCGCAACTCAGTTGTTCTACGGTAAAAAGTTGTGAGATCCATGTAATACCAAGTCCAGGCCAGGAAATCTTTAACGTTTTACATAAATATATTGACTTGGCCATCGCATGAAAACACGTGTAAATTAAATTATTTAGTGCGATGGCCAAGTCAATAATTTATGTAAAACTTTAAAGATTTCCTGTCCTGGACTTGGTATTACATGGGTCTCACAACTTTTGACCGTAGAACAACTGAGTTGCGAGACTTGGTTTTTTTGACAAGTATTGTTTTTGATGGGTTACATTATCACAAGATATTTGACTAGATTCTGAATTATGCTTTGTTATGTTCTAGTCACTAGAACATAACAAAGCATAATTAATGTAAGCATTTGTTGGAAAGCAAACATACCTACGTTCCCCAACAAAATTACATAGTTACAAGAGATGAGCCTCGTCAATTTAACCCTTAATTACTCGCATAAAGAATCTTACATAACTGCTCGCATGGGGTCACAGATGACCCCAAATTGTGTGAGTAGTTTTTATTACATACTGATTTTTATAAGTAAACGAAACTATATTATTATAAAAATGCTTTATTTATTCTTTAATATCTATGAGTAATAACATGAATTTCTTACTAATTATACGAAAACAAGCTAAATTAAAATAATTGTCAATAATTAACAATTTGTACTTAGGTATACTGAGATCAAAGGTAAGTATTTTTTTAGGAACTCTCCGAATCATTCTTGTTACACTGTTGACAGTATATTTCAGAGTGATCATTGCACAAATCTTGTACATTTCTTACATTTTCGATTCACTTGATTGTGCGGAGGATTGTTCGATCTCATTAGCGCTATCATGATCACTTTTTGTTATTTCATCTAACTCTGGCTCAGTACTCTACCCTCCAACTTCTTCTTCATCAGAAACATCTTCCAACCATTGCACAATTTGCTATTTTTTCCTATCTCTACTAACTCTGAAAAAAAAAGACAAAGTAGTAGTAAAACTGAATTTATCAATATTTTTATTGTTTAGAGCTGTAAAAACACATTTATAACAAACATTTATTCACTGAATATACAATAACACAAATATTATTCATAATACACAAAATAAATACATAAAACAAAAAACTTACCTCTTCCAAAAAAGTTACGTAATTACTCGCATGGGGTCACCACTCAAGAGCGCAGCGACGCATCCTTCCACTCCCGTGAATTAGTCGCTATCAAAATACAAACTAAGACGTGTTTTATGAAGCTACTGGGGGCGCAACCCATCAAAAACAATACTTGTCAAAAAAACCAAGTCTCGCAACTCAGTTGTTCTACGGTAAAAAGTTGTGAGATCCATGTAATACCAAGTCCAGGCCAGGAAATCTTTAACGTTTTACATAAATATATTGACTTGGCCATCGCATGAAAACACGTGTAAATTAAATTATTTAGTGCGATGGCCAAGTCAATAATTTATGTAAAACGTTAAAGATTTCCTGGCCTGGACTTGGTATTACATGGATCTCACAACTTTTTACCGTAGAACAACTGAGTTGCGAGACTTGGTTTTTTTGACAAGTATTGTTTTTGATGGGTTACATTATCACAAGATATTTGACTAGATTCTGAATTATGCTTTGTTATGTTCTAGTCACTAGAACATAACAAAGCATAATTAATGTAAGCATTTGTTGGAAAGCAAACATACCTACGTTCCCCAACAAAATTACATAGTTACAAGAGATGAGCCTCGTCAATTTAACCCTTAATTACTCGCATAAAGAATCTTACATAACTGCTCGCATGGGGTCACAGATGACCCCAAATTGTGTGAGTAGTTTTTATTACATACTGATTTTTATAAGTAAACGAAACTATATTATTATAAAAATGCTTTATTTATTCTTTAATATCTATGAGTAATAACATGAATTTCTTACTAATTATACGAAAACAAGCTAAATTAAAATAATTGTCAATAATTAACAATTTGTACTTAGGTATACTGAGATCAAAGGTAAGTATTTTTTTAGGAACTCTCCGAATCATTCTTGTTACACTGTTGACAGTATATTTCAGAGTGATCATTGCACAAATCTTGTACATTTCTTACATTTTCGATTCACTTGATTGTGCGGAGG